CAGACACCCCCAGCCACAAGGGAATGATGGACCAAGGAATTCTTTTTCCTATCTCGAGCTATCAAAATGTGAACTGAGTGGTTAGACATTCTAATGAATCTGGCTCCTGCTAGGCCAGAAGTTATTTTGCTTGCTCCAATGGTATGGATCCAGAAGACTCAGCTGCCTTCCATACTCTTTGGTAGCTTCATATGATCCAGCAGTAACAGGGAAGCCCATAGCAAGCCTGTACGCTTCCTCCAGCCTGGGAAATCCTCTGCTGTTGGATAAAACTAGAAGCTGGAGAAAGGACTGGACCTCAGGACTCCCTGGCTCAATAGAAGAAGAAAGTGCGATCTGATCCAAGTGAACTTCTGGTCTTTTCAGACACAGCAGCAATGAAGTTCCTACCACCAAGGACAACCATGGGACGTGAGGATGGACAGACATAGATTCTCTACTTAGAGAATCACATTATGCTGGGAAGACCTGGGAAGGCTCTGCAAGAGAGAGGAAAGAACAAAAGCAGGATCAGAGCCCTACATTCAGCTCATAAAGGCACAGACCTAGAGGTTGTCGCCTGAGATGTGCAGGTTCTCCTGCTTTGTGGGTAGTGCTGTCACAAGCAGGGCTAAGAAGAGAGTGAAAGGTGATCTCCCTGTTTACTTGGGAACCTCACACAGCTGGAACACAAACTTCCTGGAGCCATGTAACCTCCAGTTTACTCACTGCACACCAGTACCAGAACACCACAAGCCTCTGCAGAAGCAAACACAAAGGCCTCAGGCTCCCGGAGGGTTTCAGACTCACAAATACCAGAGCCAGACCTTGGGGGTTGCAGACCAGCATGCCAAACCCACCCCCTAGAAACCCCATTTACTCTGCATAGCTGGAGGTGTGGCTGGTGGGGGATGAGGACCGAAGGGGATGGAGTGGGCAACATGCACCAGCGTTTCCTGCCAGTGCCTGTGGTTGCAATGGAAATTACAGACCATAACAGTCTGGGTTTAATTTCCAGCAATGTATATTTGATCTGGAGCAGAAATACTGGTCAAAGGGAGGTATGCAGCCATACCTGAAGAACAGGCTTGGCTGGCTCACAGCCTGACCTGCTCCTGGGCATGAGGGGAAGGTGATTTAGCAGCAGCCAAGGCGGTGGTCCAGCCTTCAGGGAGGGATCACCACAGTCCCCATGGTGGAGAGGCATGTACCAAGGAGCCTTCTGGACAAGCAAAAGTGAAGCTGCAAGAGCAGGACGTGATGCTGCTTACCCTCTGGCCAAGGCCACCACCAAAGATTAGGAGTGAAGTCAAGGTGGGATGGGAGAGCAGATAATTTATACTAAAGATGGTAGCAGAGGTGCACGTCAGCATTAAACCACCCCCCCCATGGCTGGCTGCCCACAACCACCTAACCTGAAGCAGAAGATACCTGTCTGCACTGGTGACCAATAAATACATTATGCACCTCTGTTGTGCTCTCCATCCCCTATGCAAACCTAGCCAGTAAAACCTCTTGCAGGTCAATGGCAAGAGAAAGGTCCCTTATCGAAGAACAAATGGGAAGACAAGCTTTGCACAGTTGCAACTGCACCTTGAGAGTGATTTGAGAGCCTGAAAACTAGGAGGCTGTTGATTTTGGCAGGATGAGTCTTTAAAAGCAGCAGAGAAGAAAGCAGAAATCTCCTCCACTTGTAAGAGTGCTATACATGGTCTTATAGTGAACTCCTCCAGTCTATAGGAGTGGAGGAAATGCTTTTAAATGAACCCTGGTGGTACTTGGTGTCATATCTCTTAAACAGCCCTTTGTTTTTTCCTCTGCCTTTTCTGAGACTGGCTTATAATTAGACCATTTGAGTCTCACCATCAATTGAATCCCTGCTCTAATATATTAAAGGCTCTTCAGTTATACTGGAGATGACCTGGCGTGTGGATTATTTTGGTGGGTCCCTGTTGGCCCAGCCTACTCTTCTTTCTCTGCAGTACCTTTTCCACCTCTCCTTTCTCTGCAGCAGCTTTTGGAGATGCCAGCCCTGAGATTTGGGGATGCTGGGACCTTTTGCTCAGCACATTCCAGAGGAGAAACTCTGATGGTTAGTATAAGGAGGAGCTGGAAGATTGGAATTAAGATTATTAATTCCACACCGTCCCCAGCTAGTCATTTGCATGACATTTGCATGTGCAATAAGTTCTGCCCCACCATAAACAAGAACAATTGCAGGGATGGAAGATGATGTGCATCACTCCATGCAACATGATTATTGTGAATACCGTGGGTCAGCATTCAGCAGGGCTGTGCCAGCAAGGACTCCACAACTCTTACACCCTCCAGCCACCAGTATAAAGACCTCCTGGCACTCTGCGTACAGTATGCAAAATAACCAGATGTTTGTAGTCTGGCCAGATCCCTGGTCTTCGCTGCAGGATGTGTTCTGCAAACCCAGAACAAAGAGACAAGTCCTTGCCTTGAAGGATTTGCAATCTAAAGCATCAGTATCCTGTAGTAAAGCAATTAAGAGAGGCAGACAAGGATCTGTCTGTGCCATTCAAAGCAGGATTGCATTTCCTTGAAATTGCTTCAAGTGATCATGATGAGGCAGCCTAATTTAGCTCTGCCCACTGCCAATAAACTTCACAGTTGGTAAACACTTCAGGAACAGTGCCCCAAAGCAAGGTTCTCCAGCCTAGAAAGGTAAAGTCTCAAATATGTTTGTAAAATTTCTTAACCCTGATTCCTCCACAGACCTCCATACCTGAGAGAGACTGCCTTTCCCAGGTTCTCCTGTGCCTTGAAATCAGTTGCAGGGAAAATCTGTTACTTCACACCAAGAAAACTACATCTGGCTCCACCAAAACCTGCTGCTGCTCATAGGTGTGGTGTTAAATACCTGGTAGGAGGTCTACAAAGGTGCCATCCTAGGTGGTGAGGGGGAGATGTGTGGCCAAATCAGACTTTGAGTAGCTCAAGGGCAGTCCTATCCAGAAGGCTGCTGGTGGGGAAAGAAAGAATCACAGGGAAGGTGGTGGTGACATCTGAACATCACCTACCTCAACAACTGCTCTCAGTTGGGTGCAGTCCAGAAGCACTGGCCTCCCCAGGAACAGAGCTGATGGAGAGCTCATGCTTCAGCCTCCTCCTGTTGTGAAGGTCTGGCAGGCAATGTGGAAGATGCCTCACTATGAGTGATGTGGCATCCTCTTATCTTATTCACTCCTGGTGATGAATCTCTGCTCCCTGACAAGGGATCAATGTGACTACAAGAGTCTTCACAAAAGCCCCAGAAGGGGCAGAAGGGCTGAGATGGTCTTCATGGTTTCAGAGCTTCAGAGACCCATGTGCCTACATCTGTCACATCCCACTGGAAATCTTCACCTCCTCAAAGAGCTGATGCTTGTTGATTATATTGACATTTTACCTTGGAAATGACTTTATTTAGCTGTTCTGCCACCTCTGAAAGACCTCAGACTGCTCTGGCAGCCATCATGTGAATTGTCATTTTAAATAAATAAATAAATAAATACTAAATAAAATACACAAAAGCTTTCATGAATATTACTCCAGTGCATGAAAGGAGGTAGACCAAACGTTGTGCAGTGATCACAGCTCTGATTCAATACCCTCTTGAGGTTGTGGTAAGAACAGTTAAGCCACAAAGTTTGGATGTTTGTCTACTTCTGTCTTGAAAAAAAAAAAAAGATTAAATTCAATAAAAAGAGGATAAAAGAGAGTGAAATCAGCACATCTCATTCCTAATATCTGGCCACAAGACTCTGCTCATACTGCTACAAGTCCTGAAGCTTTGGGCACTATTAAATACAGAATGAGAGCTCTGTGTTTGCAAGGAAAATGGTTCAGTCTCCACTAATATGGAGCAAACCATTTTTATTATCCTATATACTGGATGCTGGGGAGGGACTCTTCATTAGGGACATCTTCATGTAGTAACAGGACAAGGGGTAACGGGTTAAAACTTAAACAGGGGAAGTTTAGATTGGATATAAGGAGGAAATTCTTTCCTGTTAGGGTGGTGAGGCACTGGAATGGGTTGCCAAGGGAGGTTGTGAATGCTCTGTCCCTGGAAGTGTTCAAGACCAGGTTGGATGGGGCCTTGGGTGAGGTGGGTGAGATGGTTTAGTGTGAGGTGTCCCTGCCCACGGCAGGGGGGTTGGAACTAGATGATCTTAAGGTCCTTTCCAACCCTAACGATTCTGTGATTCCATGATGGCAACAAGAGTGCCAACACAATTGCATAATCATCTAATTTTAATTTTTTCCAATTATTTAGATGTTTCATAAAGGCTCCTTGTTTAATTTGAAGTCTTCCAAACTTCCTGATACTATGAGAGCGTGTGCATGTGGTTTGGCTGCCACTGTGCAAGGGCCAATCCACTAAATAAAACCAGCCTGAATTTCAATAAGCAGCTGTCATGGTTTAAACCCTAGCCAGACATCTTGTTCACTCACTCCCAGTGAGTGGTGCTGGGCTGACAGCAATTGAGGCCCCCCTCCATCACCGGGGCTCTCCCCCGCTCCTGCAGGAACGGGGAGGAGGATCAAAAGAGTGCAACTCCCATGGGTTGAGACAAGAACAGTCCAGCAACCAAGGTACAACACAAATCACCACTGCTACCACCAACGACAACAACAATAAGAGAAAATAACAAGGGAAGAGAATACGATACCACCGGCCAAGAAAACGAGTCCCACTCGGAAGCCGGTGTCCTTCCGGGTAACTCCCAGTTACCCCCCACCCCGGGCATGACGTGCTGTGGTATGGAATACCTCCTTGGCTAGCCTGGGTCAGGCGCCCCGTCTCTGCTTCCTCCTGGCTTCCCCTCCTCCCTGGCAGAGCATGAGCCTCACAAAGTCCTTGGTCAGGGCAAACATCACTTAGCAACAACAGAAAACATCGGCTTCACCAGCACTGTTCCCAAGCTGGAAGTCAAAACACAGCACTGCACCAGCTACCAAGAAGGAGAAACATGACTGCTACTGCTGAACCCAGGACAGCAGCGAACCAAAACCAAGCTAATAAAACCTGTCCTTCTCATGCTGAATGCAAGGCAGGGGCAGTTGTGAGATTTGGCAGCCACCACCCCCTGCTGACATGTGTTTTGTACAGCTCTACTAGAAATTGGTTTTGACAGACCCATTTTTGCATGCCCAAAGCAGTTTGGATCACTTAATATGTTTTTGTAGGGTGCCTCTTCCCCATGGGGTTGCCTCCAGTGTTATTTAGCATCTAGAAGCTCAACATTCAGGTTTATGCTTGGGCGACACCTTGCTGCTGTCAGCTCTGTCTTCCATTTTGGGGTGCAGCCCAAGAGATGACCTGGGCATCACCCAGGGCAGGAGGGAAAGCAACAATGCCAATTGTACAAAAAGTGCTGGAAACTTTCTGTTTGGAGAAGCTGGAATAAAAACAGCAAGAAGGGTTTGGATCACAATGAGATCCTCTCCTAACTCTTGAGCGCATGGTAGGGAAGGGCTGATTCTGAGCTGGTATCAGCGTTAGCCATTTCAAGTCAAAATGTATTTGTTTTCCTTGGAACAGAGAAGTCAAACTGGAACAATGGCTGGAACTGACATTTTGCAAGGGAAGATTTTGTTTCATCTTGAAAGGCTGAAACACCTTGAAATATTTTCCAATGGAAATGACATTTTGTTTCTGCTGATGCACATGGGAACCATCTCATCACAGTTTCCATCCTCCTCTAATCACTCCCACTTCAGCAGGAGGGACCCAATCTGCCACCAGCACACAGGGACTGAGGGTGATGGGCAGCCATCAAACCACTATGGAGCAATCCAAGTACTCACCATGGGCACAGCTCATGAAAACGCCCTTTTTAATGGGGAAAATGGAGGGGCAAGACATCCAGTGAGATCCATTTTGGTCTGCATGAGCAAATTATGAGAGGAGCTGTAAGACCTCAAGGGAAGGTGAATAAATAAATAATCTACCTATAATCTCAATGGGCTATGAGCAAGGAAAAACCTGCTACTAAAATGTGACAAGACCTCTCAATACATAAAATAGGCAAACAGCAGGCCTGGGAATAGATTTTAAAGTTCTTGATTTCTATCTGACAGGAGGACATTGCCTCTTTACACATCCTCCACAGGCTACTGGAGGAGACAAGCATGAGAGCAAGTCCCTATGAGGGCTGTGTTCAAGGGCACTGGTGTAGGATTGCTAAAGGTGAAGAGATCCTGTTGTAATTTTTGTGCAGCTACCAGCGGAGCACTGGAATGAAGAGAAGTAAAAAATCCTGTCAGATTTCTATAAAGAAGGGGAGTAAAAGATGACAATTCGGGAATTGGAGTCCTGCTTTGCTGTAGTCTCAGATTTCCTGTACCTGGAGGGTTTGAGAAGCCTCAAACCATTCCTATCTCAAATCCAGACAAAAAGCCCTATTCTTGAGAAGCATCATCAACAGAAGAATGTCCCAGTCTCAGGTTGACAGCAGCATTTCCCTTCCACAGTTTTAAAACATTTCCTTTAGATTATGGCTTTTTTAGTACTATGGGATTTGCTCACATTAATAAACCATCATTTCAGAGCAAAGTAATCTGCCGCTATTTCCTTCCAAATATGGGCTGACAACATTCTAAATGAATACCATTTTTTCCCAACATTCTAAATGAATACAAAAATTCTGGGGTTTGAACCAAAATGTGCCTTTTTCTTTTTTTCTTAATATGAGAAAATAAAAAAAAAATTCCACAGTCAAACCTTTTGGAAACAGGATCTTTCTCTCCTGTTCTCCTTTATTTTGCACGGACAAACCAAGGGGTTCCCAGGCTGGGGAGATGCTTGGGGTCTATTTGTAACAGGTTCAAACCCATCCAGTTCACACAGCCAGCACTTCTCTCACTTTAGCGACCACTTCTCTCAGTCTGGATGCTATAAATGAATGTCAATGGCAGGATACAGTCCACTAAGCATGGTGTGACCCCACAGAAAGAGGATCATAGAATCCTAGAATGGTTTGGGTTGAAAGAACCTTAAAGCTCATCCAGTTCCACCCCCCTGCCATGAGCAGAGACACCTTCCACTATATTGGGCTGCTCCAAGCCCTGTCCAGCCTTTAAGCAACCCCTCATCAGAGTAGGGGTTTGTAGGAATGAGCCTTGGCATGCTGCTGTCCCTCCCAAGTGTACTCATGAAGAACCAGAGACGTAAGACACAGAAGGGTTTCTTTTCCTGGTTTCATTTTCCTTTTCTAACCACAGGGCTGAGGCTTTAGCCAGCATGTGAAGCTCTTGTTAGGCCTAAGAAGAATCTGCACCGGGTCCTCCCTGAAGAACACACCAGTTGTGGTGAGGAGTGCAGTCACACTCTAACATCTATCTGAGAACAGACTGACAGAGAAAATGCTTTTGCTTCCAGACTGCCTTGTGGACCACTGTCTCTGCTGTGGCAGGGCTGGTGGGGGGACTGACTCATGCACCACATCCTTGGACCAAGTCCAGCCAACACAGTCCTCTACCCCATGGGTTTCAACATTACCAGGCCAGCTTAGATTTAAATCAGTGGAGAAACCTGACTACTTACAGCTGCTCCAAGAAGAGTAATGATCATTGATTGACTTACAAACAAGAAAGCAGAGCACCAAGAAATAAACACATCTGATGAAGAGCTGTCAGCTCTGATGATACTCACAGCATGCCTTCACACTTCACTGGTGCTTGCTTCAGAGCCACCCCACAGATGACTGATTGACTTCTTAGCCAGGTATGTCTCTGCTATGGCTGCTTAATTTCACACTAGAAAATGAGACAAATATTTATTGTTTTTACAGGGAAATCAGTAAATTGTTCTGACAGCCATGGTAGAGCACTCCCACCTGAAAGAACTCCTTTGACCAAGAGATACATCATGTTCCTGATGGGGCTGAATTGTCTCAGCTTGGAAATTAGTCATTTTGAATCAGGAACATTGTGTTCCTAGTCTGTATTTTACATCTGTAGCTGGACATTAGGTAAAGGACCTGCCACAAGGTTTGAATCCCAGAGTGAAAGGCATGGCTGAGATTCAACTAATAGGAGCCACACTGGTTGGCTGCACAGAGACATTGCAAACACAGAGCTGGAAGCCTGAGAAACCGTAGGAGGAGGTAGTATGCTCCAGCATAAAAAGGGATGTTGTCAAAGTTGTTCCACTGAAGATGACACAAAGTCAATCATTTCAAGAGCGAGCTGACAGCTCAGGGACCTGTTTTCCCTTGGAAGTGGCATTTTAAATGGCTTTTCTGCACCTTAGGCAAAAAGAGAGGTACAGGAGCTGCTGTTCTTTAGAGAAGAGACTTTGAGCTTCTCACCTGAAGGGAGGGCCACACACCATCACCATATAGGTGGAATGGCAGAGGCCAATGCCTGCACTAGCGGGGCTCGATCAGCATTTAGAATTTCACAGTACTTCTGCAATTCCCTTCTTTTATCACATCTCCTCATGGAGCTGGCATTTAGGAGGAGCAGCTTCATCTGGCAAGATTAGTCAATGCCTGGCAAGAATGATGGAAATCTACATGGGCACCAATGCACTTTTTGGAGGCCAGCTGTTGAGCCCTCCGCAAACAGCCTTTGGGGTGCTGTCATTGGGGGCTGTCAAGCCATTACTTCTTGAGTCTTTCTTTTGGTGAGGAACCACTGAAATCCTCATCCCATTTGGCACAGACCCCCTCTTCCATGATGCCCTGAAACCCCACAGCCTCGTGCTCCCCTCAGCACCATGAAAGGAAAAGCAGTGACTCACCCTGAACGGCATGTTATCCTGCAAGTTCATTAATTTTAGTGAGGGATAGTTTCCTCAATGCCTGTTCCTGTTGTTTGACCCCTGGCTTCACTTTTCTTTCTTTTGCAAGGACAGCAGTTGGCCCAGGTCACAGCAGTGTCAAGCCAGTTCTGGGAACCGCTTCCTGAAACATGTCTGTGTTATCTGTGCACTGGCACACTTCTCAAAGAGTCTCTTGACTGGAAACATTCAACTGGGAAGAGAAACATGTCATCCCATCCCACTCCTGCCTCCTTCCCTGCTCCTTTGGGAAACTGCTGTAGGAAAGAAAAACCTGTCCCTTGCAGAGAGGCTGACCAACAGTAGAACAGGGCTGCTCTGGCACAAGGTCTTCTTCACACAATAGCGCATCTTATCATGGCACCAAATATCAGACAACAGCTTTCCTCATGTGACTTTTTCTATTCCTAATTTATAACAGAACACAATGAAACCACAAAGACAGAAAAGGAAACCCCTTTACAAAGGTTTAAAATTAGGTAGAATAGACTGAGAGGCACCATCAACACTTCCCCTTCCAGCGACAGCACTTCGCGACCAGGCGGCGGCAAACAAAACAGGAGGAGAAGCTGCCAGGCCAGCTGAAGGATGAAGTTGCTGAGAAGATAGCCAAGGAAAGAAGATGTGATGATGTTTGTCCCGTGGAGACTCTCTGGACAATGGCTGACTCATCACTTGTAGGCTGGATCTCTGGGATTGAGCTGTCTTCCCTGCTAGACCAAGGGAGGAATAGGTGGAGTAGCAGTTCCTCTCTCATGACTCAGGCTACCTCCTCCCATCCCCAGAGGCCCTTGTATTGAGGGTCTTACAAGCACCTGGAGACTCAACTACTTTTCCAGTCCCACCAGGAGATTTGCTCTCAGATGGACAGCACCGACTCAGACTCAGTCTGGGCACAAATGAGGCAGAAGCGGTGGGAGAGGAAGATGCCACGAGGAATTAAGACTAAGACAGAACCCCTCTGCTTCCACAGACCACAGTGCAGATGTCATTTAGTCCATCCAAGCAGCAGAAAGCGGGTTCCTTGCTCACTTTCCCGCAGAGGTTGTTGGCACTGGCTGTTGGCAGGGAGCACAAGTTCAGATTAACATCCCTGCTGAAAGAGAAGGGGAAAGTGTCTGCTGTTTCTGGCCACCATGTGCATGGTCCCAGCAGGTCCTGGTGTATGCAGCACTCCGGCTGAGTCCCAAGCACCTGCTGCTCTGTTCCTGCCCTCCAGAGAGGAGAGTAGGGCTGTGCAGGCAAGCTCAGAGCCAGAAAACAGAATCCCATTAAAAAACAGCAACTCTTCTCCAGCCTCCATCACCCCCACTGCCTGTCAAAGGCTCTCTGTGATTTTTCAGGACAGCAATGGACCACATGGTCAGCACTAATGCTGACTTACCCCTGGGATGCTGCAAAATCAAATGCCTTTCAGACGAACCCATACCTGACCCTCTACGCCTGCCTCTGTCCCTGCTATGTTTAGCATGAGATCTTGATCCCACCCAGCAGAAGAGCAATGGCCTTCAGGGCTGGCAGAGAGCCCAGGCATGGGCAGATGCAGATACCGCAGTGCAAAGAGCTGTGGCATGTGAAAGGACTGTCGCTCAGTGCCTGAACCTGGGAGGCACAGTCTTCAGTTAGGATTCAATACCCTGTCTTGAATGCTGCTGCCCCCTCCAAGAGGTGGGGGAAGACACAAGGACAGGCACATAAACCAGTCTAGCTATTGACTTGTCCTGTCAGCCAGGAAAACTCTCAGAGGAGACACCAAGGGTGCAATACAAAGCTGGGGATAAGTAGAAACTCCAGAGGTTTTAACAGTTTGTGATATCTGGGAGAAAGAGGGGGAAGGTTACAGCCTGGTGTGAACGCAACCCATTGAATAAGCATCTGGGATGGGTACAGGCAGCAGGTTCCCTGCACTGCAGATGGTGCCATCCAGATGGACAAAGCAGCTGGGTTTTTGTGCTGGGTGCAGGGTGGTGGTGTCCCCTGCTCTGCTGTGCTATGGTCCAGAGACAGAGGTTTGGGAAAGGGAGTATTATATGCCTGAAAGAAGAAACTGGCATCCTCCTCACAGGTCATCAGCACAAGAGGATTTGAAAGGGCTGCGCTTCCAGCTGTTTTCCTGTTCCTGCAGAGGACTTTGCCCCCCAGGCAACAAGACCACAGCGTTTCCCTGCCTCCTCCAGCCTGGAGGAGCACAAGATATCTCTGACGGGTTCCCCATGCCAACATTTTCCTCTGCAGCATGGAGTCCCTTTCCACTTACTGGACTACTGCTATTCACAGAACACTACTATTCACATACTCTTATGATACAGAGTAAACCCAACATATACAGAGGGAGAAGAGAGAAAGAAGAGCCATAGCTCATTACAGTAGAGCCTTCCCCACCACACACTGCCAAGTCTCATGTTTTTTACCTTCTTTTGCTGCCCTCATCCCAGGAAGCCTCACCTGTGCTGCTGGCATCCTCTTGACTCAGCAAAGTGCCAGGACAGGGTCCTCCTTCAAACATTTCCAGAGTAATTCCCCTTTTTCTCAGGCCAGCTGATGCCAGGACATCTCCCACCTCCTGCAGCCTGCAGAGCCCATGAGGAAAGGTAAACAGGACACTCATCGGGCTCAGAGGGCGTGTGCCCTTCATTAAAAATACTTTGGAAAGTCTGCCTGGAATGCTGGGATGGTTTCCTCTGTCTGATGGGGAATTTCCCCTTATCACTGACAGGGTTTGGACCAGGACCAGACCAAGAGGGGGCTGTACGCAGAAATAGCAGAAATGAGACCAAAAAAAACCCCAGAACTTCAGGAAATCAGTGTGAAAACACATCATTGGGAAACAAGCAGTGCAGATTCAAGGTGGAAATGGAAACCCATGACACAGTAGTAGGTAGAGCAAGTGAGGACCAAGGATCTACAACAGTTGCGTTCATGCCAGCTTGGTGGTGCAGACAGCATAACACAGACACCAGAGGGAAAGCCCTTCTGTCTCCCCAGCATGACATCTGGTGGCTTTCTATGACCAGGGTGGGTACCTTCCATGCCTACATGCCATGGTGCTTTCTGGTCCCACCTCTCAGTGTCTGCTGGTGCTGGCCCTATCCAGAAATGTGATCCTGGACCTGGTCTGGCCCGATCCTGCCTGTATCCTACCCAGCTGGTGGAGAATGTGCAAGGAGGTGCACGTGCACTCCTGAGGTGGAGATGGAGCAATACAGATGTGTTTTGGTTAAGCACTGTGCACCAGGCAATTACACCCTGCTGCTCGAAATGCTCACCTCACCTACGTATTGAGCTTTGTGTGCCAGAGCCAAAAACCTGACAATGCCAGGCTGTTATCTGTGCTGGCACTCAGCACAGACCACAGGCAATCACCTCCCCATCCTTCCTCTGCTTACGGAGCAGGTCAGGGCCAGGAAGACACACAGAGATGTGATAAGAACTGCCTGCACACTGTTAGCACAGGAGGAGATGCAGACTCCCCTGCTGCTGCCCCAGGCTCGCCTCTGCCACTGTGGTGGTCCTGATGGCCACAGGCCACCGTGGGCATGTGGCCCAGGAGAAAACATCACTGAAGGACTGGGGTTATGATGCTGTTGCCTCTGGGTAGTGAAGCACAGGGAGCAATCCCAGAATTAGCTTTTGCCTTGGAAGTGAAAAGGAAAATGAATCACAGAGACGGACTATTTTAAACTCACTCCAGCCTCCTTTGCAAAGTCTGGAAACTCACTGCACAGCCCATAGGGTCTGGTGGTCCCTTTCTTTCCTATGGTGGACAGAAATGAGTGAAGCAGGAGCAGGGTATTTTCCCTGCTTCATCGTTTTCAAGCCATTTCAGGAGCTAAGTGAGTTTCCAAACAGAGGGGTGGATTTGCATCACCCTAATGAAAACTAATTAAAGATAATTATTTAGCCTGTTGAAAATATTTGTGCTGTACCAGGAACACCCTGCAGTTGGCTGTTAAAAGGCAGGAAGAAAGCACTTTTTCCAGAAGCAACTTTTCACGTTGGCTACACTGGTGATTAGAGCTTCTCAAAGGGGCTTTTCACGTACTGTCCACTTACAGAAACTGGCTGGCACAGAGTCGGCACAACCAAACTGATCCTTAAATTTCTGGGGTAGGGAACTCCCTTCCCTACCCAGTTTCATGGGCTTAGGAAACACAAAGGGAGGTGGGTAGAGCAAGGGGTGCAGCTTCATCCCCACCTTTTGTTTTTTGCCTGAAAGCTGCTGGATTTGGGGGTGAAGAGGAGGGTTGTTTGGGGTTTTTTAGAGAAAGTAGATTCCTCCCAAAACACGTTCTCTGCTAGAAAAAACTCCCCAGAACAGGCAAGCAAGCGCACAACAAGCTGCAAGGGAGTAATTTGTATTAAATCAGTAAGTTCTATCAGATGATCTCAGTTCACATGGAAAGCCATTTCTCATAAGCAAAGGGCCAGCCCCTGGTCTGCAGAAATGGATGAGCACCAAGCTAAGCTGTCAGTCACTACGAAGATTCTCACATCTCAGGCTTTTCACAACCACCTTCTGTGGAAAACACGCAATTTTTAATCAAAAGAAGCCCAAATGTGCCACCCTCCGACACATAGCTGGTTTGGGGCAGAACCTGCTGCAGCTCCACCTTCTCCAGAGGTCTCCAGCTGCACCATTCCTCCTTCCCCACAAGGCCACCTATACCCCATCCCACTGTCCTTACAGCCACTGCTTCCTCGTAGAACCACAGAATGGTTTGGGTTGAAGGGACCTTAAAGCTCATCCAGTTCCAACCCCCTGCCATGGGCAGGGACACCTTCCACTAGACCAGGTTGCTCCAAGCCCCTGTGTCCAACCTGGCCTTGAACACTGCCAGGGATGGGGCAGCCACAGCTCCTCTGGGCACCCTGTGCCAGGGCCTCAGCACCCTCACAGGGAAGATCTGATCTCACCCAAGCCACAAAACCCCAATCTAGGAAATAGAAACCATGCAAACTGTGGCTGATGCCTTGTGGTTTCCTCCTTGTCTATTCCTGGAGGCTTCACAGCAGCCATGCGCATGTGAAGCATTATCTTCCCCAACAGTTGCTTGTAGCAAAAAAGCAAAGCATGCCTGCAGAGGGAAGGAGCCAGTGCTCCAGCTCAGCACATCCATTCTTCTCTCTTCTGGTTTCCCTCCCTGATTACTGCTCCAAGATCCTTCTACCGCCTGACTTGCTTACCAACTGCTGGATGAACTTATGCAAGACTTTATGCTGACTTGCTTCTGACAAAGCCCTGTTAAATCTGGGTGAAAATAGCAAAAAATCATCAGGTTTCTAGCGCTATTACAGAAGACAACAACTTCCATCTGGCAGTCAAAAACCTTCAGTCCCTTATCTGGGCCAGCCACCATGTCCTTGAAAGGCACAAACCAGGTCCTCCATCAGCTGCACACTGACTGAGGAAGCCTCTCCCAAGGCAAGAGGGGCTTGGCTGGACACCACGTGTTGCAGGGCTCAGTGGCTTGCCTGCTCTAGCAAAAACCCTCCATGCCAGTGTCCTGAATCCCAGCTACTCAACCCACTCTCAGCCAGACATTCCCTGTCTCCTGGGGCCAGTGAAGAGAGGGGAGCTCCTCTGGGAGTGGATCTGAGGGCATCTCAGAGGGGTTTGGGCAGCCAGTGTTTCAAAGAGGGGTTTGGACCCCCAGACCCCAGCTTCCAGGGAAACAGCATCTTCCCCTGTGACTTGGAGATAAAGCCAAATCATAATACCCCACTATTCAGCAGTGGAAGTGATTAAATGATCCCTTGTGGTGATCAAGCCAAGACTGGCAGCCCTCCTGGGGAAGGTGTAGGTTCAGCCCAAACCCAGGCTTGGGGGTGTTTTGGAGAGGGAACAGTCCAGGATCATCTTAGCTTCTGCAAACCTGACTGCAACAGCAACAGAAGCTTAACCCCTACAATGTTCAAGAGGATTTCAAAATGTGAGCCAAAAAGACCCAAAACCTGAAGCAGAGATAGATCCCACTTCTGAATGGGCTCACAAGGATTCCAGTGAAGACCATACAAGTTTACAGCAGAAGAGGCAATTGCAGTAGGAAGAGAACCATAGCTCCTGGTTGTCTGTGAAGAAAAGCATCTTGGAAAGGACTGAAACAGGCAGGACGACCTGGACTGACCTTCAACAGCTTCCCCCATGGGTAACATCAGGGTCTCATGAGGTTGCAGTCAGGAAAACAGGAGCAAGCTGTCACTGCCGTGCCAAGGCCAAGCATGCATATACCACAACCTTGCCCCTAAAATCCAAGAAAAAGGATTCAAAAGAAAGCCAAACCAGCTGATCTCCTACTGGTGTGGTTTTGAAAACACCTATCTGGTCCCATTCTCACCCTTCAGTCTTATGCCATGAAACTGGCTGCATCTTTTCAATGTGATTGCTCAGTTCCTTATACCAGCTTCCCTGAAGCTTCAGGTGAGTGCAAATTTAATAAGTAATAGATAAAACAACAGCACTTACCAACACCGGTATCATTAGAGCAGTGAAGTCAGGTCTGCAGAAGAGAGCAACACCTTCTATTAATATCCCTAAGCGAAACATCACCTCGTAAGCATTGTCTTGCTACAGGTTTGCACGTAACATCCTGTAAATTTTCCCAGTTTAGTTTCTAGCAAAGCTTCTGTTAATTATGCAGAGATACTCATCAAACTGCTTTCTGAATGATTAGAACCGGTCATATGTCTCCAAAGCCCAGGCTGGGCAGCTGGAGCATGTCCTACACCCAGCATTCATTCCCTGGCTACAGAAACGTGCACACGTGAAGCCTCAGCTAGAATACTAACTAGAAGAGATTGCTAAAACATTAGCTACTGGGTTTTCCACTAATCCTTGGGGTGCCAGATAATTCACAGGGGTTGGACGAGAAGACAACATGATGAACAAGAGGATGCCATGGGCTCCTGCTATCTTTATCAGGGCTAGGCACTTGCAAACTATTTGCCTTAATATCTCCCTGTTTTAAGAAAAGTGATCAGATGAGTTGTTTCAGTGATCAAGTGCAGGTTTGCGTCTAAAAAGAATCTCAAAATAAGTTATACAGCCCAAATGTACCCTCTGGACCAGAATTTCAAGCAAGAGAAACTTCCACATGCTTCCGGATGCTTCATTTGTTGCGGGAGGGCTGAATCACAGCATTTGACTCATCACACTGACGAATTCAGCTTTCTCCAGAAAAACTCACCATGGCACAACCTCTGATATTTCCCCTTCTCTGGATCAAGAAATAGTCAATCTATTTCCCCAGAGATGTCAAAACTCAAATGCTTTGTTGAAACTCTTGCCTGCTGTATATCATCCAAGTTCAGTTTCCAAGGCCTCAAAACTGTTAGTCAGGAAGGAACACAGACCAATGCCAGTGGTGCAAACATAGCAAAAAGGCAACCTAAGTCAAGGTGTTAAGTAATGTGCCCCAACGGTTACTTACACAATTTCTCACTATCCTATAGGGCTGTGGGGCAAAAGGAAAGAAAACAACGTAGCTCGAGAGCCAAGCCAAATCAGCAGATTGATAGAGTCCTTTGACCCTCCTGGCCATGGGCTTTCAGCAATATGCACAGACCCAAAACGGCTTGAAGGTTTCCACTTCCCAGGCATGACCCAGGTTGAGCTTCAAGACAGTTTCCACCAAGTTGCTTTCTAAGCCAGGAAATAAATGAATTTAAAACAACCCCCCGCTTCAAAGCTACTTATGGCAATTCCTGGCTTCCTCCTCTTTTGTCTCCTCACACCCCAGTTGGCTTTATTTTTTTTAATGAGGAATATTTAAGGACATTAAAGCTACTGCTGCCAAGCAGCCAAGCCCAGGGAGTGGAGCCAGAGAGGTGGCTGCCACTGAGAAGTAGGGCAAGAGT